CTGATCTGGGTTCAGTTTTGGTTCTGGTCTCCCTGCAGCTCCTCGCGTTCCTCCAACAAGAAGCACGTGAACGGCGTGGATCTGTTCTACGAGCAGACGGGTGGCGGGAAACACGTGGTTCTGCTGCTTCCCGGTGCTCTGGGTCAGGATCTGGGTTTTGGATCTGGTTTTGGGTCTTTGTGAGCTCCTGGGTGAAAACATCAAATTGAATTTTTCTGTCTTTCTCCTCAGGAAGCTCCAGGACGGATTTCGGCCCTCAGCTGGAGGCCCTGAATAAAGAAGTCTTCACCGTGGTCGGGTGGGACCCCCGGGGTTACGGGCGGTCCCGTCCCCCGGATCGAGACTTCCCCCCGGATTTCTTTGAGCGGGATGCGAAGGACGCAGTGGACCTGATGAAGGTGTGTTGGACCTCCAGCTGGACTCTCTCTGAAGGGTTCAGATGAAACATCTGGTTTCTCCTCCAGGTTCTGGGCTTTGGACGGTTCTCTCTGTTGGGTTGGAGCGACGGAGGAATCACGGCTCTGATCGCGGCGGCCAGGAACCCGGACCGGATCAACAAGATGGTCGTGTGGGGGTCCAACGCCTTCGTCTCTCAGGAGGACCTGAAGCTTTACAACAGTACTCCGGTTTTCATGCTCCAAATATAAACTTCCTTTACCTCCGTGGGAAGATAAACATGTTAAAATTAGCAGATGGCTAACAAGATGCTAAATGTAGCAGATGGCTAACAAGAAGTTAAATGTAGCAGATGGCTAACAAGATGCTAAATGTAGCAGATGGCTAACAAGATGCTAAATGTAGCAGACGGCTAACAAGAAGCTAAATGTAGCAGACAGCTAACAAGATGCTAAATGTAGCAGATGGCTAACAAGAAGCTAAATGTAGCAGATGACTAACAAGATAAATGTAGCAGACAGCTAACAAGAAGCTAAATGTAGCAGATGGCTAACAAGAAGCTAAATGTAGCAGATGAATAACAAGATAAATGTAGCAGACAGCTAACAAGAAGCTTAATGTAGCAGATGGCTAACAAGAAGCTAAATGTAGCAGACGGCTAACAAGAAGCTAAATGTAGCAGATGGCTTTAAGCTAACTGTTGCAGATGGCTAACAAGAAACTAGCAGACGGCTAACAAGAAGCTAAATGTAGCAGATGGCTAACAAGAAGCTAAATGTAGCAGTAGGGTGCAAAGAAGCTAACAGTAGCAGATGGCTATTTAGAAGATAATAGTAGCAAAGGCTCAATGGGAGCTAAAAGAAACAAGACTAGCTAGAAGCTTAAAGTAGCAGAAGGCTGGCTAGAAGCCAAAATTAACATGTGACTAGCTAGAAGCTAAATATAGCAAAAAGCTACCTAGAAGATAATAGTAGCTGAAGGCTGGATGGAAGCTTAAAGTTGCAAAAGATTAGCTAGAAACCAAAATTAGCTGAAGGCTAGGTAGTACCTAAAAGTAGAAGAAGATTAACTAGAAGCTAAAATTAGCAGCTAGCTAACGGCTGTTTGGTTGTGTCTCAGTGGTTCGGGACGTCTCCAAGTGGAGTGCCAGGATGCGTCGGCCAATGGAGGAGACGTATGGAGATCAAGGTTTTGCTGAATTATGGGCGAGCTGGGTGGACGGCATTTCTCAGTTTGTTCACAGACCAGAAGGTGAGGATCTGTGAGGAATCGTTGTTTCTGCAGATATTTTGTTTTTTTCTCTACTGTGTTTTTGTTTAGGAAGTATCTGCATGGAGCTGCTGCCGCTGATCAGCTGCTCCACCCTGATCGTCC